TGTGTAAAAAAAGGACCAACATTTCGAAATAATGGCCTCTCTCGTTTGGAATTATGAGTTCAGCATGTACATGCGCACGACTTTTTAACACCATTATCCCTGGCATGCCGCATTACTAAATGAGCTGCAGTTGTAAAACTCCGATTCTTTCGCTTCTCTTGCACGTAAATTACGAAGTAAATTCCCCTAAAAATCTAGTGTACTCAGCAGGCTTGCGTGTGGATGGCTCAGCCCTAATTATATTAATGCGGGCCAGGAACATGAGTCTTAACTCCTATCCGAAACTGCGACAGAGAGAGTTGGCAACTGGCCCAGTTTTCAAAGGACCGCCTAGATTTCCCGGGCCTTGAACCACAACGACGGCGGCCACTTCATTTACATCATCGCGCAGGAAAGCAGAGACGTGAGGGTGCTGGAACAATCGCTGGTGGGAGCGGAAGAGGGTGCGAGACATCCTTGTACGATGAGCATTAGGCCAGTGCAGGAGTGCGCGGGATGTCATCCTTACAACAGAGGAAAGTAAAATCCATCGGATGGAACCATTGTTCATTTGATTGTAGACCAGTCGATGTTGCACACAAATGAGGAGTTCCTACAACACGGAAAAGAACAAGCCGGAATTTTGAAGGGGACAAGTGATGCGGTGGCATCTGTGGCGGGTTGTGGTGAAGGCAGTCAGACATGAATCGAGTTTAATTAAGCCGGACCTGGTGCTAGGCAACCCAAACTTGACTGCCCTGTAATCGTCCACGGCTTCATACTGGAAGTCCGGATGACTTCACTGTTTTCAGGAAGTTGATATCAAAAAACTACCGAGAGCAGAGCGAAGACATGTTGAAGAATTTATAAAGATGAGCGAGACGAGAGCAGTTGCCATGAGAAAGCTGAGTTACAAGGTGCGCGAGGCAGTTTTTCATTTCTACCCGCCCATTAGAGCTTACTATATGAAAAATTATTTTGTAAGTGGAGCCTTAACTAATGAAACTCAGACATGGTGCACAACCTTCTCTCCATCCGTTGCAGCATCCTTGTTCCTGCAGCCTGCCTACTTTCGTTACTCCTCAAACAGCCGTTAACGCCTCCCACCCACTCCAACACTTTCAAGTAAGGTAACCATCCCAAGTAAGAACTCTTCTTTTTTATGCATTTTTTGCAGCTATGCAATGCAGAAAACGCATATTGACAAGCGGTTACCTGTGTGTGTGTGTGTGTGTGTGTGT